TATTTAATCAAATAATAATGAGATATTCTATACAATTGTCAGGGAACAAATTATTTCAATACTATTTAAATTGTTCCTGAGAGTGGTAAAAAGTAAACATTTCCCAATTCATGTTATGAGTCTGGAATAATCTTATTACAAAACTAGAAAATCATAGTAGAAAAAAGGGAACATGTAGGTTAATATTTATTGTGAACATAGATGTGAAAACTTCCAAAATAAGATACTACCATATCAAATCTAAAAGTATATTTTAAAAAATATACATCAAGATAAAAGTGGATTTATTTCAAGGACACAAAGATGGTTAACAGATTAACATGAATCGCCACATTAACAGATTAAGGGAGAAAAGTCATATGACCTTCTCAATTGATGCAGAAAATGCATTTGATAAAATTCCACACCCTTTTATAAATAACAACTCTTCACAAGCAATGATTAGAAGGTAACCTCTTTAATTTGACAAAGCAAATATAGTTAATAATTAGATATTCTTAGTATTCTCTTTAAAGTTAGGAATAAGACAGAGTCCAAGTATAATTCTGTCCAGTATTGTACAAAGTAAAAGAAATAAATGATATAAGCTTTGAAAAGAACAAAACAGAACTTCATGATTACTACATGGGAACTATTAAAAAATCAGTAGTCTTTTAGAAGTAATGGAAGAGTTCATCAAGTTTGTTAGATACAAGATCAAGATACATCAGTTGCTGTCCTATAAACCCAAGGTATATTTTTTTTAAAGGGACCAAATTTCAGGGTTTATTTCATATTTACTATTTATTTCATGATGCAGAGATTGTAACTGTAGCACAAGTATCTGAGCATTCCTCGTTTGATCAAAATGGACTTTTAACTGTCTAAATAGTCAAGATACTGTATGAGGTGCTATATAATAGGTTCTATACAGAATTGACCCTGTAGAAGTTTATAATTTGGGGGCACCCTGTACTGAGAGATGGAGATACACTAACTGTACAACAGGAATCATGAGCCAATACATAAATGAACAATAAAGTGTTTAGATTTAAGTTTAAAATTACAATTAAAGAGACAACTTTAGTTTGGGTATGGTGGCTCACACCTGTATTCCCAGCACTTTGGGAGGCCGAGATGGGTTGATCACAAGGTCAGGAGTTTGAGACCAGCCTGACCAAGATGGTGAAACCCTGTCTCTACTAAAAATACAAAAATTAGCCAGGCAGGTGCCTATAATACCAGCTACTCAGGAGGCTGAGGCAGGAGAATCACTTGAACCCAGAAGGCGGAAGTTGCAGTGAGCAGAGATCACACAACTACAGTTTAGCCTGGGCAACAGAGCAAGACTCCATCTCAAAAAAAAGACAACTTTATCTCAACCTTTTTATTATGAAAAATTTCAAACATATATCAAATTGAAAGAATTTCACATAAATACTTTAAAGAGTCTACCTAGATTCTACTATTAAACATTTTATTGTAGTTGCTTTATCACTTATCTGTCATCTATTTGGTCAAAAGACGTTAAAAAAGAAAAACTCTGACATCTAGCATTGTCAGGAGAGGAAGCAACAGTATGTTGATGGCAATGTAAATTGGTACAAACACTATGGAAAATTACTTCCTTTTATACAGTAAAACTGCACATTCCTGTGACTCATAAAATCTACTTCTAGCTATATACCCCAGAACAGTAGCTATCAAATATTTTTGACCATAAGCCACAGTAAGAAATGTACTTCACATTGTATTTCAGTACCCATACACATATGTATATATATGTCTCTATGTATGTGGGTATGTATATATGCATATATATGTACATAAACATATGTGCGCACATACATATACAAAAGGCACAAACTTTTATGAATCAGGCTTTTCCATGGATTACGGTCAACTAGAGAACTTGTTAAGTACAGATTACTGGACCACAGCCTCATAGTTTCTTATCCAATAGATCAGCAACAGAGAGGAGGGGTAGGAGTAATATGAGAAATTTTGCCTTTCTAACAAGGTCTTATGTGATGTATGTTTCTGGTCCAGAGACCACACATTGAAAAATACTAATTTATCAGACAGCAACATCTTTCCACTGGTCCTTCTTACCTCACGTTACTCTTCTATAAGTAAGCAAGTAGTTACTTGCTGGGTGGGAGGCAGTACACTCAGAATGCACTTGATGCTTTTTTATAACTCTGTGCTTTTGCATTATTTTTCCCCTTCTCCTAAACAAACCTTTTTGTGTGTGTGTGTGTGGTGAGACGAAGTCTCGCTCTTCTCACCCAGGCTAGAGTGCAGTGGTGCAATCTCAGCTCACTGCATCCTCCACCTCCTAAATTCAAGCAATTCTACCTCAGCCTCCCTAGCAGTTGGGATTACAGACGCCTGCCACCACACCCAGTTAATTTTTGTATTTTTAGTAGAGATGGGATTTCACCATGTTGTCCAGGCTGGTCTCAAACTCCTGACCTCAGGCAAACCACCCGCCTCAGCCTTCCAAAGTACTGGTATTACAGGAGTCAGCCACCAAGCCTGACCAAACTGCCCTCTTTTTCTTGCCCTTCCCCCTACTCTTTCTTATCTGTTCAAATGTTTTTCTTTATAAAGCCTCTCAAATGCTTCATTTTCTATAAAACCTTACCTTATGCCCTGAACTAGAAATGTACTGCTTTTTTTTAACCCATGGTACATTATATCAATTTACTCTCTTGTGTTGTAGTTGTTTATATGCTTTCATATTCCATATTTTACAGTTATAAACTTCTTAAGGATTTGAGTTGCATTTATGCCATAATACTTAGTACAGATCTTTAACTGTTTGATAAATATTGGAATATGCTAAAACTTTGGTGCATATAGTTTTTAAATTATTGAATGAGATAATGTTTGTAAAAATACTTTATTAATCATAAACATTATATAGAGGTGAAGTACTTTCTTGCAGTGACTGTGGACATTCTATAGATGAAAAAGCATATCTCAAAATTTATTTTTAAACACTTCAAAGAGATCAGGAAAATGACAAAGAATAAAAAAATATCTGATCTAATGTTTTGCCAAAATAAAAGGCAAAAAAATTGATGGGAAAAAAAACAAATGCAATCTCCTGGCTATATTGCAAAACCTTTAATTATATCACATATGCATACATACACACACACAGAAAAATAGTGGTCTATATATAACTGTTGGTTATATTAGCACTGCTACTAGGGTATCAACCTAGAGCAAGTGAAGTATTATTGGAGATGTAAAAAGCCTGGTTGTGATGCCAAAAATTGGAATAAAAAGAATTAACTAAGTTTCATTTGCCACTAATCTTCTGATGGAGGGAGTTACAACTTTCTTGGAAAATAAAATCCAACACATTTCACAATATGTGATAAAATTGTCACAATGATATCAGTAAGGATAAGGTCATGGACATTAATAAACACAAGATGAAATAAACTTACTGTATAAAGTTACAAACATCCCAGAGGCGTGTATCAGTCAAATTCTTTGTAGTTCAAATTATTTTTCCATATTTTGTAGGTAACTGTATTTGTCCGTCCTTCATAGAAATCTTGGGAGGATAATATGCAGTAATTGTTATGGAAATATTTCTAGTTTTTAGGAGGAAAGGTGCTACAAACTTCCTGATGTAGCTAATATTGTATTCTATGAGGGATTATTGTGCTCTTAGTTAAAATTTTAGATTTATTCAATAAATTGTTAGATCTGCTTATATGAGAAGAGAGAACTTAATATTGATGATGTTCTAATCATATTACTGGTGATGTTATAATTAGCTATCATTGACAAAAAGCTACAATTTTAGTTTGAAAAGACAAACAAGATTCCTAAGTAAATATGAACATACTAAGAACTATATAATTACCCAGTGCCATTTTGTCACCAAAGTACTTTTTCCAATTCTGAATGCCAAAACTAAAACAGATTTTGTAGAAATGTCATTAAGATTAAAGGTTAGAAAATAGCCTTAAAGTTTTTAATGAAACAATGAATAGTTTTTCTAGTAAGAAGAAGGCCAGCAGGTGATTCAGTAAACATTTTCAGATATATGGAAAGTTGTAAATAAATGGCAGTCTTCTCTTTCAGATTGTAAATAGTACAAGAAGAAAAAGTAATAAAATATAAGACAGTTTTAGGTTACTTCAGAGAGCAAGAGTGGTTAAAGAAAAATTGAATCGTAAGACATTTGGGGAAAATATTCTTATATTACTTTAAATTTGAAACATAGCATAATCTCTTTGTTTTCAAGTGATGAAAATAAGATAATGTTACCAAATCAAAGTAACACAACCAATTAGTGACAGCATAATTCCAGCTCTCATATGAAAATCTAGGCCTTTGATTCTTGACACCAGTCTTCCACTGCTTTTCCATTTTTTGTTTCTTAATGAACTAGTTAGTTTAAATATGGCCTGAAAATGGACAATTATCTCTGAAAGACCTTTCTAGCTTAAAATGTCTGCGATTATCAATGGGTCTGTTAATGAATGAGCTCTCCAACCTCTTTCCTTCTGCCATTCACTTGTGAAAAATCTTGTTTTACTTTAAAACTTACAGACTTCTTGAGAAGCAAGAGCTCAGATATAAATCTTAAGTGCTTTTTGTGTTAGACTTTTGAACATAAATATCACTGGGCATTTTTAATGCACTATGTCAAATTTTTACAATTCTATAAAATGTAATTTTATGTATTTTCTAACTTCAGAAGCTGAAGTTAAACAAAATAGATAATTAGCCTTTGTCAGATTCCTCAAAAGTAGGTAATTTATTCTGATTCCACATTCAGTACATTTTTTCCAATTTGCCATAGTAACCATAATATAAAAATTTCAACCAGAATGCCTAATTTGTATAGCAAGCAGTGAATGTATTAAGATAACAATTTTATTCCTAAAACAGTTGTTCACATGTAAAGTAAAATGATTGTTCTTTGTTGTTAATGTATTTAAACTGGGCATTCATTGCAATTTAGTATTCATCGCCTTTCTCTTTTCTTTCAGGCCTGTTTGTGGAATCAGAGGGAAAACGCTCATAATTAACCTGCCAGGTAGCAAGAAAGGATCTCAGGTAAATCACCTGGACATATGAATGGCTTAGTGTAAGAACTTTTGACCAGCTGTGAAAGTTAACCAGCCAAAAAGTTGGAGCACTCCGCAAGACTGCCCTCACTTCTAATACCAATTGCAGGATTCCCAAAGTCAGTCTCAGGTTCAATAATTAAGTGGAAAGACATAGAACTGATAAAAACTGTTATACTTACAGTTATGGTTTGTTATGGGGAAAGGATACAGATTAAAATCAGCCAAGAGAAGAAGTGCATTAGACAAAGTCCAGGAATACTACCAAACACAGAGCTTCTATTTTCCTCTCCCTGTAGAGTCATGAATGCTTTACTCTCCTGGCATTCATGCATGATAATATACTTGTAATACTGCCATCAGAGAAGCTCACCTGAGTTTTTGATGTCCAGATTTTTTTTTGCAATTCATTATATTTTGCCCATGTGAATGAACGTTAGTCTTTAACACTTCCCAGAGATTGGACTGATACTGTTGTTCTCCATTACCTTCCAAAACTGACACCATGTGGCCCAAAGTCCCCATTATAAGTCATATAGTTAGGCTGTCTAGTGGCCAAAACCATCAGGTAAACAAAGACACTCCTGTTACGCATACATTCTGAGAACCTAGAGATCTCCAGATAGTTAAGGCAACTACTTTTACCCTCAGACTCTCTTTGGGTACTGTTAATTCTTCACTCTACATACAAGCTACCTTCTGGCCTTTGGCCAAGGCTTTTTTTTTGGGGGTTGGGGGATAGCAATACAGTCATGTTTGTCTGGGCGTCTGTGTTTACTATGGCATTTATATGACAGACACAGCAGTAGTATTACTGTGAATATGCCTAAGACTTGGCCAAGGCAGTGTAGGGTGTGAATAGACTTAGAGAAATAACTAAGCCATTATACACATTTTCATAAATTTGTATTAATTTACTAATTTATCACCTTGATCTACCACTGTTGATATGTTTGTGTATCATAGAAATTAGCTGATAGTGGCAGATGTGGTGGCTCACACCTGTAATCTCAGTACTTTGGGAGGCTGAGGTGAGCAGATCATCAGAGATCGGGAGTTTGAGAGCAGCCTGGCCTACTAAAAATAGCAATTCAGGGGATTCTAAAAGGACCTTCAGGTTTAATAATTCACTAGCATTCATGGAACTCACAGAAAGCGGTTATACTCATGATTATTATTCATTGCAATAAAAAAGGAAAGAATATGGATTAAAGTCAGCCAAGGAAGAAAGTACATAGAGTACCTCTGCAGAGTCTAGCAGAGGTAACAAACAAGGAACTTGTGTTGTCCTCTCTTTTTGGGGACATGGACATGTCGCCCTTCTTGCATCAGTCTGTGATACCAGCTGGAGTAATGCCAGCTGGGGATGCTCACCTGAGCCTTTGGTATCCAGAGCTTTTACTGAGACTCAAACACATACTGCCAGTGTGGCTGACCTGTAATCTTTAATCCTAAACTAAAGTAGAGAGAAGCAATTGGGGGCCTTCTGTATAGAAAGTGGGATCAGAAGGCCAAGAAGGGGAATATGAATATATATATATCCAAGTCACTTAGGAACTTTTATGCAGGTGCAAAAACTTATGTGTAAGTGGCCACAAGGTTGTTTAATAGACAGATGAATGAAACTCCATGTTTACTTTTAGACAGCAAGGCTTTGTGTGAAATCTTGAATTAATGGGGAGGGAGGAAGGGTAGGCCATGCCTGTCTGTTTTTTTCCTGATACCTTCCCCTCATTCCTGAACTGTAGTCTAACAATGTTAGACTGTCTCTGATGGCCAAAGTCCATAAGCAAACAAAGACATTACTATTAGGCATTGTTAAAAACGTGCGCTTTGAATGAAGAGACCCCCCCAAACAGGCTTTGTATGAGCAACATGGCTGTTTATTCACCTGAGTGCAGGTGGGCTAAGGCCGAAAAGGGCGTTAGTAAAGGGCAGTGGGATAGGAGTTGGTTTTATAGGTTTGGGGTGGGCTGTGCAAAGTTTCAGAGTAAAATTAGTTACAGTGGTGGGGGTAGGGGCAAGGAGTATACATTACCTTGAGTTCAGTTACAATGGCGGGTGAGATAAGAGTAGTTAAGATGGTAAGGTGGGGTGAGGAGTATTCACATTATTATGATAACAGTTAAGATGGCAGGGTTGGGTGAGGGAGTAGGGGTGATCAGCCTAGGCAGGCAGGAAGGCCGGACTTTAGACTTTTTGGGTCCTGGCTTGCACATGGAGCCCTGACAGGCATGAAATTCCAAAGACATAGAACTCACTCTCAGAAGTTGAGTGTACAAGCCAGACCTCTCCTCAGTCAAGGTTAAATTCTTTACTACACAATCTTTAAACAGTAAACTGATTGAGCCATACAAAGATAGGTCAGGAGATTAGACATCTTTCCAGGTGTTATGTAACCCTCTAAAAATTTTTAAGATTTTGTTTATATCTTAGAGTTTAAGCTAATACTTCAAATGTGAAAGAGAAAGACCTCCACCTATCCTGCAAATATATCTGGACTTATGTTCTGGTTTTTAATTTCTCACCTATTCTCTTTTGGTTGTATATTATAGATAATAGGGAGCACCTCAGCAGCAGGTTATATTGACTTTATGCAGTGCTCTTTACAAGCTTATTTTATATTTTACATGCTGTACAATGTTGCCTCGCTGTACTTTATGATGGTAGTTAGAACTTTAGCTCTTTCGACAAAATAATCTGGTTCTCACATGGTTGTTAGTTTTAGTGCCCTGCTCTAGCTAAAAATATGAAACCTCTTTCCCGCTTCTTTTAAAACAATTTCAGTACCAATAAATCTTTGTTTATTCATTGAATTTCCCCAAGAAAAGGAGAAGGGAAGGGAAAAACAGTCAGCATGTGTGTTAAAAATTGATTAGACTATGGGAAAAGAAGTAGCCAGTATAGCGAAATCAACCATCAATTAATATACCCCAGTTGTGGGCTCACCAAAGCCCAAAGGGGCTCAATCTCCAGCAGTTCAAGAATGAGGGGATGGGATCAGGAAAGTAACAGACAGGTACAGGCTACCTTCCCTCCCCATAAATTCAAGATTTCACACAAAGGTTTGGTGTCTAATAGTAAACATAGAGTTTCATTTGTCTGTCTATTAAACAATCTTTTGGCCACTTTGATGTAAGTTTCTTGCACCTGTGTAAAAGTTCCTGCTTGACTTGGATATAAATATTTATATTCCTTTACTTAGCCTCATGAGAACACTTTCTGCATGGAAGACCCTCAGTTGCTTCTCTCTACTTTTGGATTAAAGATTAAGTAGATTTGACCCATCCAAAATATAGCAGTGTCTTAAGTGTTTGGCATGAATCACATCAAGAAATGGTCTTGACTCAGGAGATGGGAACAAGGGATGGAATGTTCCTAGTTTCTTCAGGAATTTTCTATACATCATTTAAGAGCTATGGAAATAACCCAATAATTAAATATGTATGTGTTTGGGTATGTAGGTTTTCTCTTGGGGAGGAAGGGATGGAAAAGAGGGTAGTATACATGTTTCTAGCATGTATGTATTTCTTTAGTTTTTAGAGACAGAGTCTCACTGTCATTCCAGCTGGTATGCAGTTAAAGAATCATAGCTCACTGCAGCCTCAAACTCTTGGGCTTCTTTCCCATCTTTCCTGACTTTCTCATAAGGCATCTTTAAACTACCAAGTTGGATACACAAATTTTACTTTTAAAAAAATGCAGTGCATGCTTTTTTTTTTTAAAGAGGATCTGATTCTGACCATCCATGCCTGTCCTCAATCTTTTATTTTTTTATTTTTCCATAAGTTATTGAGATACAGATGGTATTTGGGTGTAGGAGTAAGTTCTTTAGTGGTGATTTGTGAGATCCTGGTGCACCCACCAACCAAGCAGTATACACTGCACCATATTTGTTGTCTTTTATCCCTTGCCCACCTCCCACTCTTTCCCACAAGTCCCCAAAGTCCATTGTATCATACCTACCCCTTTGCATCCTCATAACTTAGCTCCCACATATCATATCAGTGATATATACAATGTTTGACTTTCCATTCCTGAGTTACTTCACTTAGAATAATAATCTCTAATCTCATCCAGGTCATTGCAGATGCTGTTAATTCATTCCTTTTTAAGGCTGAGTAGTATTCCATCATATATATATGTATATATATATATATATGATGTATATATACATGTATATATACATCATATATATATATGATGTATATATACATTATATATACATCATATATATATATGATGTATATATAATGTATATATACATCATATATATATGATGTATATATACATGTATATATGACATGTATATGTATATCATGTATACATGTACATATGTATATATAATATATTCATATATGATGCATATATATGTATATATGCATCATATATACACATGAATATATATCTATATATATTATCAATCAATGAGTAGATAAAAAAATCATATATATATATTGATTAATAGGCATTTGGGTTGGTTCCATGATTTTGTAATTATGAATTATGCTGCTACAAAGGTGTGTGAAAGCATTGTTTTTGAACAATGACTTCTTTTCCTCTGGGTAGATACCCAGTAATTGGATTGTTGGATCAAATATTAGTTCTACTTTTAGTTCTTTAAGGTATCTCCACACTGTTTTCCATGGCGGTTGTACTAGTTTACATTCCCACCAGCAGTGTAGAAGTTTTCCCTGATCCACAGCAACATGTACGGTTTGTTTATTCTTTGATTATGGCCATTCTTGCAGGAGTAAGGTGGTATCAAATTGTAGTTTTGAAATGCATTTCTCTGATCATTAGTGATGTTGAGCATTTTTTCATATATTTGTTAGCCATTTGTATATCTTCTTTTGAGAACTGTCTATTAATGTCATTAGCCCACTTTTTGATGGGATTGTTTTCTTTCTTATGGATTTGAGTTCGTTGTAGATTTGGGATAGTAGTCCTTTGTCAGATGTATAGTTTGTGAAGATTACAAAACACTGCTGAAAGAAATCATAGATGACAGAAACAAATGTAAACACATCCCATGCTCATGGATTGGTAGAATCAATATTTTGAAAATGACCATACTGCCAAAAGCAGTCTACAAATTCAGTGCAATCCCCATCAAAATAACACCATCATTCTTCACAGAGTTAGGAAAAACAATTCTAAAACTCATATGGACTCAAAAAAGAGCCTGCATAGTCAAAGCAAGACTAAGCAAAAAGAACATATCTGAAGGCAACATGTGTACCTGATTCCAGACCACACTGTAAGGCCATAGTCACCAAAACAGTGTAGTACTGGCATGAAAATAGGCACGTAGATCAATGGAACAGAATAGAGAACCCAGAAATAAAACCAAACACACCCATCTGATCTTCAACAAAGCAAACAAAAACATAAGCTAGGAAAAGGATAACCTTTTCAACAAATGTTGCTGGGATAATTGGCAGGCCATTTAGCCGTGTAGGAGAGTGAAACTGGATCCTCAACTCTCACCTTACATAAAATTCAACTCAAGATGGATTAAGAACCTAAACCTAAGACCTGAAACTATAAAATTTCTAGAAGATAACATTGGAGAAACCCTTCTAGACATTGGCTTAGACAAGAATTTCATGACCAAAAACCCAAAAGCAACTGCAATAAAAACAAAGATAAATAGCTGGGACCTATTTAAACTAAGGAGCTTTTGCACGGCAAAAGGAACAGTCATCAGAATATATGCTTTTATACCACTGTTGTTCCTTAGCTTATACAGAATACTGTACTTTATGTTATGCGTATTTCATGGCATATTGCTAAGACGATGTTTTACATATGATGAATTCTTGAGATTGATGGAGGAAAATGCAGATCCAAAATCACAAATCAATTTGATTGCCACCATCTTATATAACTACAAAAGTGCTCCATCTTAATTTTTTTCTTTCTCTGGCATACAGGAATGCTTTCAATTCATACTGCCAGCTCTACCTCATGCCATTGACCTTCTACGTGATGCCATTGTAAAAGTAAAGGAGGTGCATGATGAACTTGAAGATTTGCCTTCCCCACCACCTCCTCTTTCCCCTCCTCCTACAACCAGTCCCCATAAACAGACAGAAGATAAAGGGGTTCAATGTGAGGAAGAGGAAGAAGAGAAGAAAGACAGTGGTGTTGCTTCAACAGAAGATAGTTCCTCATCACATATAACTGCAGCAGCCATTGCTGCCAAGGTAAGCCTGATGAAAGACACTCAGAGGTCTAAAGGACCCACAGGTAAATGTACTGGTTTTATCTGTTTTCCATCCTATCCCTCCATACATTTAATACTTTTTCAGAGAACCTAAAAAAATAAGTGGGATGGGCTGGGCATGGTGGCTTATGCCTATAATCCCAGCATTTTGGGAGGCTGAGGCGGCTGATCACAAGGTCAGGAGTTCAAGACCAGCCTGGCCAATATGGTGAAACCACATCTCTACTAAAAATACAAAAGTTAGCCAGGCGTGGTGGTGGGTGCCTGTAGTCCCAGCTACTTGGGAGGCTGAGACAGGAGAATCGCTTGAACCTGGGAGGTGGAGGTTGCAGTGAGCCAAGATTGTGCCAGTGCACTCCAGCCTGGGCAACAGAGTGAGACTCCATCCCAAATAAATAAATAAATAGGATGTCCATGACACTCCACTACTATGTTTCCTTCTTGATATAGGTTCCTTGAGGGCACTGAAGTTTATTCTGAGCCCTGAGGCATTACTGATGAGCTGTTACCTATTGAAGTAATAGCTACCATGATAAACAATGTGACGTTTCAGAACTCTTTGGAGAAGTCATTTTTGTGGACATATTAAATATATAATGTTTATATATTCAAAATATCAAAACTTCACAAATTCTTAAAGGAACAGCAAACTGAAGATAAAAGACCTTAGATGATTCAACAAAGAGTTAGGAAATATTAATAAGGATTTTTATAAAGACAAAGCTTTTCAGCAATTGTTGAATGTTTCTTAACTAATAACTTATTCAAATATTACTTGACACAAATTACCCTAGTGGTATAGATAAGAAATAGATATATTTGCATGTTTAATTTAATTAAGTAATAAATATTATTAGGACAATACCAAAGTATTACAAATTCTCTTTGGGCAACTCCAGGGGTAAATATACTGCCATGAGTTACTTGAGTAAATTCAGCTGTCTTAAAGTTACAGAAAATGATTTATTCTTCATACCTACTAAAGTCCACCTAGCGTGCCTTAATATCTTCAGAAAGCATATCAATTCTAGAAATCATAATTTTTCATTAAGAGCATAAACATTAAAAATTTAATTGCTATATGAAATAATTCTCAGAGTTTCATGGATCATCCAGATATTTTGGCTATCAGCATAGTGAGGTGTTTTTTAAATAATGTATAGATTAGAATCACCAAGAAATCCTTTCGAAGTGTCCATTCAGTAATCCAGTAAGTAGCTACTTAAGGCTAGTAAGTATTTAAGTTGTGTGTGGTTTTTTTATGATACTAATTTGTGAAATAGGTGCATTTTTAAATCATTATATGTTCTTTTTCTTTTACTCTTTAAAAGAGTAAGAAGTGCCATAAATTTCAATCTTAAGAGAAAAGTTTTGGCATTTAAAATCTAAGCTGGTTCTGTCATTCTACATTTGGAAAATGTTAGCATTTCATTTTTCCATTTGTTTTTACCTTTTTTCCTTTTTAGTCATTTTGCTTGTATAGTTTCATGTTTTCCTGTCACTATATTCATAGTTGTTATGTGTTGTGCATTAGAAGCATCCATTCTACACCAGTCCTGCTGTTGTCATGGCACACGGTGAGCAGCCCATCCCTGGTCTCATCAATTATTCCCATCATTCAACAGATGAACGGGTAAGACAAGAAGCTTTTGCATTAATGATTTTGCAAATATGCATTCTACTTCTTCTCCTTGGAGATAGGCTGTAACATATGGAAGATGTGTTGTTTTATGCTGATGGATTTTCAGCATTGCTTTCTTGTGAAAGTGTAAGTGCCACTGAGTATATCCATCAAGGAATTTAATAGTTTCTCCTGTGACTAAAGTACTCTGCTATCATTAAGATTCTGTCATTTGTGACAATGAACTTTTATCAAATGACTTGCAAGAAATTCATTGCTCAGAAGTTATTTTTGTCTTACCAATTTCATCAGATATCTTTAAATAAATTGCTGGACTTAAGATTACCTCTTAAAAGAATCACTTTGAGTCTTAAAATCTAGACAGATTGGTCAAGCAAATAGTTGATATATATTAACCTTCCTGTTTTTTCTCATTATTTTGCATCTCTTTTTTTTTTTCATTCACTAGGCCCTCATTACAACCATTTGCAGAGTTGACTTTGATATAAATTCTTTGGTTCCTCATCATAAGTAAACTTTTTAGGCTGCATGTTTGTTTATTCAGTCACTGGCTGAATGATACCTTGGGGAAAAAAAGCCAGATTGTAAAAGATTAAATTGATAAGTACAAATCTTTAAACAGTGATAATTTAGATACTGGATGCAAAAAAAAAAAAAAAAAATACTGATCTAAATCCCGAATATGGATATAAAATGAGAGGGGTGGAGAAGAAAAACAAATAATAGAGCGAAATTTGGGTTTTAAATACTTAGGAAGCAAAACATCCAAAATTTGGAGAGGAAAAAACCAAGTTAGCTTCCATAGCTTCTTGGAAGATATTACCAAATGTAGACTTTTTTTAATTTTAATTTTGTGGGGTACACAGTAGTGGATATATTTATGGGGGCATGTGAGATACTTTGATACAGGCATACAAAGGGTAATAATCATATCAGGGTAAATGGGTATCCATCACCTCAAGCATTCATCATTTCTTTGTGTTACAACCATCCAATCGTATTCCCTAATTTATTCTTAAATGTACAACAAATTATTGCTGATCATAATCACCCTGTTGTGCCATTGAGATCTTATCCATTGTATCTAACTATATTTTGGGTACCCATTAAGCATTCCCATTTCCCACTCCCCCTCCCCACCCTCTCCACCCTCTGTAACCATCATTCTACCATCTTTATCTGCATGAGTTCAATTGTTTTCATTTTTAGCTCCCACAAGTAAGTGAGAACATGCAAAGTTTGTCTTTCTATGCCTGACTTATTTCATTTAACAATGTCTTCCATTTCCATCCATGTTGTTGCAAATGATAGTATCTCATTATTTTTTATAGCTAATCAGTACTCCATTGTATATATGTACCACATTTTCTTTATTTATCTGCCAATGGACACTCAGATTGATAGTGCTACAATACACATGGAAGTGCAGATATCTCTTCAATATACTGATTTCCTTTATTTTGTATATATACCTACCAGGGGGATTGCTGGATCATATGTAATTCTGTCTTTAGTTTTTCGAGGAACCTCTATACTATTCTGTGTAGTGGCTATACCAACCTACATTCCCACAAGTAGCGTACAAGTGTTCCCCTTTCTCCACATACTCACTGATATTCTTTATTCCCTTTCTTTTGGATAAAAGCTCTATTAACTGAGATGAGATGATATCTCATTATAGTTTTGATTTGCATTTCTCTGATGATCAATGCTGATGAACACCTTTTCATATACTTGTTTACCATTTCTATGTTTTCTTTTGAGAAACATCTATTCAGATCTTTTGCCCATTTTTAAATTGGATTGTTATATATTTTTTCCTATAGAATTGTTTATATAGTCTGGCTACTAATCCCTTTTTAGATGCATAGTTTGCAAATATTTTCTTTCATTCCTTGGATTGTCTGCTCACTTTATTGATTGTTTCCTTTGCTATGAAGAAGCTTTTTAACTTGATGTGATCCCATTTGTCCATTTTTTTCGTTGGTTGCCTGTGTTTGTAGGGTATCACTCAAGAAATCTTTGCCCAGTCCAATGTCCTGGAGAGTTTTCTGTGTGTTTTCTTTTAGTAGTTTCATAGTTTCAAGTCTTAGATTTAAGTCTTTAATCATTTTTATTTGATTTTTATATATGGCAAGAGATAGGTGTCTAGTTTTAATCATCTGCATATGGATATCCAGTTTTCCCAGCACCCTTTATTAAAGAGACTGTCCTTTCCCCAGTGTATGTTCTTGACTCTCTGTCAAAATGAGCTTGCTGTACATATATGGATTTGTTTCTAGGTTCTCTATTCTATTTCATTGGTCTATGTGTTTGTTTTTATGCCAGTACCATGGTGTATTAGCTACTGTAGCTCTGTAGTATAATTTGAAGTCAGGTAATAATTCCTCCAGTTTTGTTTTTATTTTTTCTCAGGATAGCTTTGGTTATCCTGGGTCTTTTGTGGTTCTGTATAAATGTTATGATTAATTTTTCTATTTATGTGAAGGTATTGTGATAGAGATTGCATTGAGTCCATAGATTGCTTTGGGAAGTATGGACATTTTAACAATATTGGTTCTTCCAATCCATGAACATGGAATGTCTTTTCATTTTTTTGGTGTGTCCACTTCAATATCTTGCAAAAATGTTTTATGCTTCTCATTGTAGAAATCTTTTACTTCTTCGGTTAAATTTCTTTCTGTGTGTTTTATTTGTAACTATTATAAATAGGATTACTTTCTTAATTCCTTTTTCATATTGTTCACTGTTGACATATAGAAATTCTATTAATTGGCTGGGCACAGTGGCTCACACCTCTAATCCCAGCACTTTGGGAGGCCAAGGCAGCTGGATCACCTGAGGTTAGGAGTTTGAGACCAGCCTCACCAACAAGGTGAAACCCGTTTCCACTAAAAATACAAAAAATTAGCCGGACATGTTGGCAGGTGCCTGTAGTCCCAGCTAGTCGAGAGGCTGAGACAGGGGAATTGCTTGATCCTGGGAGGCAGAGGTTTCAGTGAGCTGAGATCACGCCATTGCACTCCAGCCTGGGTGATGGAACAAGACTCCATCTGAAAAAAAAAAAAAAGAAATGCTACAAATTTTCGTATGTTGATTTTGTATCCTGCCACTTTACTGAATTTGTGTATCAGTTCTAATAGTTTTTTATTGGAGTCTTTAGGTTTTTCCACATGTTGTAGCATGTGCAAACTATGGTAACACATAATAAATAGGCGTAGATGGGGCAAAAACAGGTTTTGAGAGGGATCTATCCACTTTTAATTCCTGGGGTTCCATGAGGAAAATGGAGGTAAGTACCATTTTCTTGACCAGCAGCTTGAAATTGAGTTTGAGACAAAAATGTGTCTCAGGGTGGGGAGGGGTTTAATGGATTCCTTATCATAAGCTGAATGCTAAGGTGAAGCTATGGAATTGAGTCCTCCTCTAACAAGGGAGAGAAAAGGTTGTCTTGTGACACACCCAGATATCTGGTGGCTATATTTATGCTTGCTGAGATTTGGGTGCATGGTGCTTGGCTTTGGTTAGCTCCCTTGGTCTTACTGTCCCAAAAAGGAAACCTCCAGGTGATGGGCATCCTATTTATTCCCATCACCTGGCAGGATTTGCAGGATAATTGCTCAGAACTAGAATATCGATCCAGATTTCTACATTACCCATCCCTTTTGTTCTTTCTGAGCTGTAGCCAGAAATTGCTGGTTCGTTCACAGAAATAAGCAGGGTTAGTCTAAAATGTACGTAGAAACTTGAAAACAACTAGTGAGTTTAAAATTTAATGACAGATGTATAAGTTGTGAAACAATTTCTCTCTGTCCGTTTTTTATTTTTGTTAAAAATACAAATTGTGATAGGACTGAGTTGTTTGCAAAACAGACTTTAGTCTTATATTAGGCCTGATTATTTGCATAAAATGCAGCAAGAATAACTATTTCCTAATAGGCCTTTTAGACTGGCTTTGATGGAACTCTGTTCCACAAGGAATCTCAGGTAAGACATTTTAAAGCCAAGCCCAGCCACAGGTTTGTCCTCAAATACCTATGAGTTGGGTGATCCTCTCCTCTTAAGTTCCCAGGGTACTTGGGGGTCTTGGGCCTGTTAGAAAGAGATATTGTTTACTGACCACAGGTCAGGAACCCTGTACAGGAACTGTGTAGACAACGATATAAGGCCAGTTTTCTCAAGGGGCTTTTATCAGCTCTGCAAGCCAAGCTTGACTCCTAAAAGGGAAGCATACCCTTCCAGTCCAAGCCTTGGTAAAACAACCAGTTTCTCCAATTGCATCCTGTTGCAAAAGAAAATGGACTTTTATTGTACTAATCCAAACAACTGTATTGCCAAAAGTTAAGAATACTCACAAATACTTTCCCAATTCTAGAGGAACCAGGCAGAGAGAAACAAACATACTCCAAATTTTGTTCACAGTATACCTTACTTAATTATTTAGAGCTGTAAATTGTTCAAAATAAGTTTCCATGAACCTGAAGAATAAAACAGGGATCAGCAATATTCCAAAAAAGCCAAAAAGATTGCTTCAGTTTTCTGCATTTAGTCCATTTAGTTAACTCTGTTCTTGTTTGTTTGTTTGTTTTGAAGTGGAGTTTTGCTCTTGTCACCCAAGCTGGATTACAATGGTGTGACCTCAGCTCACTGCAACCTCCACCTCCCATGTTCAAGCGATTCTCCTGAGTAGCTGGGAATATAGGCACCTGCCACCACACCCAGCTAATTTTTGTATTTTTAGTAAAGACAGTTTCACCATGTTGGCCAGGCTGGTCTCAAACTCCTGACCTCAGGTGATCCACCTGCCTCAGCCTCCCAAAGTGCTGGGATTATAGGCATGAACCACCGCGCCTGGCCTCATAGTTGTGAACATTTTAATTCTTCATGAGTCCTGTATGTTTTTTCTTTGTTCCAATGTCACAGTCTCCAAAATTATTAGAAACCTGCATTTGAGAGCACCTGTTAGAGTCCTATAGCTGATTATAAACCAT